TACGATTTTTTTCTTTTTTTCGGAAACTTTATTGAATGGTATCATTTTTGTGCTTTTTCATGTATGAAAGTATTTCACATTGCTGTATGAATGCATATAATCACTAAAGGGCTGTTGACAATGCTCTTCAACTATAAGTGTATTCAATATTTACCATATTTAGATATATTTCGTTTTTCTTGTACCATGTTGTGGCTTTAATATGTTCTAAAGTTAGGTAAGACCACTCTGGTCACATATTTTGGTTGTGGAATTATGTGTGAGCTTTTCATTCCTTATACACAATACTTGTAGCCAATTCGGACTTATAACGCTAAAGATAGGGTTTCGTTACCCGTGATGGACACAGCACAGATAACTCATTGTGGAGCTTTCTGCATAACAACAAATAAACAACAAATTACCTGTAAGTTTTAATTGCATCGCACGTATATACATATACAATTCAACAGCGGTAGTACTAAGAACGGTAGTACTTTTGATTGTTTCAAATTTCATTCTATTCTTTATTATTAATTTGATATTTTGGAATGTAATAGAGTCATTCTGTTATTAATACAATTTTATCAACATTAGAGGATCTTTCGTTTTTGTATTATATATTTACGTATAGGTTTTGTGTGCTAAAATGTGCCTTTCATTATAATGGTTTTCATTATGTTATTGTAAAAGGTTTACTGTTGTATTTTATCTTGATTTTTAACTCGATCCAGCCTAGCATCTTTTACCACCTAGCCTAGGATGGTCAACAAGGGGATCATTCCAGAAACCGGTGTTAGGGTTATTTCGATAGATCTCGATGAATGAAGCTCGGTACAACTTCTAAAACGAAAAAATAACTAAATATTAATGAGAATATGACATGATTAAATCTATATGGATTATTCTATAGTGGTACAACATTGAGCATTATACCATCCTTCTTATATTTACTTTTCATTACAGAAATGACACTTTTAATTTGAGAATCGCAGGTGATATCATAAAGTAATGTATCATGCACCTGCTTCAACTTCAACACTGCATCTTTAGGCTTTACTGTGCCGTTACTTTCACTAAATATTGAAATTAATAATTTCTTGCATGATTCCAATCCCTATTTATGAAAATAACGATACTAGTGTGTTCGTTTTTTTTTATTATTATTTTTTTTTGTCAATGCAGTAATCAACTGACGAATCTCCGATTCAGCTGGTATGTCAAATCGATTGGGATATCTTCGAATAAGTTCTTCCCTCATCCAACCTGGACTCACGGTTTAGTTTAATCGCCACACTTAAACCATCACATTCACAACCACATAAATAACATTTCAAGCATGTTTCATTGCTACATTGTTTCACTTTACATTTACAAGTTAACTTTTCAATGTTGGCTCTCATGATCTCGGGTCAGATCCCAGGTCCAGTCAAGGGCCTGGTCCAGCGACCTAGATCACAAAAATAGTGCCAAATGTTTTATTTTTATCTAATCAAAACAACCCAAACCTTTCCATAATGACTCTCTTTTTTTTTAATCCGCGTCGCGTGGCAGGAGTTACAGTGTATATTTGACTTCTGAGCTGTGTTTTATTATAGGTATATTTTAACAGTTACTAGACGGTTTCTTTTTCTTATATTTGATATTTTTTCTTTGTTTATAGAGCTACTGATTTTGTATTTTCTATTTTTGTCAATTGATCTTTAATATGCCGCATTTTTCTGAATTAGACTTTCATTTTAAAGGTTTGTAAACTTTAATGGATATATATCCCTGTTTTGTAAATTTACTATAAATAGTCTAAAATTTGTTTTTCCTTTTTGCTACTCGGTTTATTCTTGTATTTTGTGTTGTTAATTTTTCTTTATTATACTGAGTTATGTACAGTGTATTATATTATGTTGTATTTTTACACTGTAACATTGTTTTGTAGTTTTCATTCATTTTTTATTATAGCAATTTTCTTTTCTTTGTTAAAAGGTGTTTACCTGTCTATCTCATCTACCTACGTACCTTGTTGTATACATATTTGTCAGGTGCAAGGAATAAGGCATTTCTGGAACACTGCGGATCCACGAATGTTTTCCCCTGTTTTATCTATTTTAAATTTTAAGACTTGGGACGGCCTGAAAACAATGGAAGATGGGATGTTGGGCCTAGCGTTACCATAAACTATTGTCTATATAAATTCATAGGTTTCAATGCTTTGTCGTCGTTGCGTTGTATTCATAGATTGCCAATAACGTTTACGCTAACTGCCTCGCAAGTGCACAGCAATTACACATCCTTAACACGATATGTAACACCGGTATGTTAAACCGAATCTACTGTGATATACAACAACTCATGATCATGCTCAAATCTTGATCAATCCAATATAAATTTACGTTTTTAGTTAAAGGCTTAGACAGATAAATAAACGATTTAAAGAAAACTAATCAAAATATAAAAACTTGTGTTTTTCAAGAATATCATTAATCATGTCATTCAACGATAACTTAATTTCAAGCTGTTGCTTGCCCTGTATTTTAGACCTGCGTATTTATTTATTGCGAAAAATTATTAACGTTGCGTCAAGTTCTGGTCTGTCCTTTTCTTAGTTTAGTTTAATGAAGTAAGAGATCGCTTTAGGCTAAAAGTGCTGTACAACACATAAAAACTTGCTCTACAATTAAGTAGAACTACATATGCTAACTACCACATCTCCCAGTACTAAGAGCCACTTACAGTTATGGTTGTATTATTAATCTAAAATCATATTGTTGTTTTTTTAGAGCAAAGCTACACAACGACTATCTACGTTTTGCTCATCGCGAAGAATCGAACCCTAAATTTTAGCGTTGTAAGTCTGTCAATTTACCGCTGACCCACCGGGACCTTTCAAATCAGCATATTTGGAAGTTAATTCATTAGAAAATTAAAATAAATCGGTTTTCTTATCACATTTCTTTCAGTTTATCTATGTTGTACGAAATCTAATGGCCCGGCATGGCCAAGTGATTAGGGCGCTTGACTCGCAATCTGAGGGTCGCAGGTTCGATATCCACTCCAACCAAACGTGCTTGCCCTTTCAGCCGTGAGGGCGTTATAATGTGATGGTCAATCCCACTATTCGTTGGTAGCCCAAGAGTTGGCGGTAGGTCTTACACTGCTAAATTAGGGACGGCTAGGGCAGATAGCCCTCGTGTAGCTTTGCGCGAAATTCAAAACAAACAGACAAAATTTAATAAGTGAAAAGATAAACACAAAACTTCCCCCTCCCCAAGTTTTTATGAAAGTTAATTTTATAACTATTGTACTTTTTCTTCGAGCTGTTTAAATACCTTTATCGTGAATTTGATTTCAAGAGCCGAGTGTGGCCAATAGTTAACGGGCCGTACTACGGATGTGTGAGCAAATTTACTGCCAAAAAACAAGCGCACTCTGTGTTAAGCCGTATGTGCATTATATGAGTTATGGTTAAAATTCCAACTATTTGGTCAGACAAGATTAGTTCAAGACTTAGCGGGAGTGCCGTTGACTAGCTAGCTGCATTCCCTCTAGTCTGTCAGTTCAAAATTAAGAAATGTTAACGCTAATAGCCATTAAATAGACTTGCGTGAATATCTGAAAATAAACACATTTCAGCATGAAAAGTTGTTTGCGATTATTGATCTGAATTATTTTCTTATATTTTTTCGGGAAAAAAAATCACTTCACAAGTGAATCTGTGTAAATATTCCCAGTCTATAACAGACAATGTCTGGGTTCCATGTCGCTTGGAAAAATCTTGTTCAGACATGAAATGAACCTTCTAATGGCTTAGCCAAAGCAGCTGTCCGCACAGAAAACATAAGGATAATGAATCACCACATGTGTGCTAAAATCAACGTATGTTATTTTATTGGCTTTGCAAACTGTGTATCCATTTTACTAATGAACGAAATTCCTTTTTCTTTTAAGAAATTGGTGCAATCAATTTAAAAAATTGTTCTATAATCTTTAAAACCTGATTATACTGTCTTTACTTACTGAAATATGTATAGCTCAAAGATTCGTCTAATATTATGCATGATAGAAAATAATCAAAGTTCTGCGTGAGCAAAAAGAAAATGTGCGCATCTTCTACGTTGTCTGAGCAGTGTGTGATGATATTAAGTAAACGATGTAGAGTTAGTGTTATTGTATTGCATGCACCAAAGATATTTTCTGCTGTTCGTGTTAGGAGCATCTAAAATCAATGTTGTTGTTTTTTCCCAATCATAATATATTTCTGTAGCGACCAAAAAAAATTCGATTATATAAGCTTATAGATTAATATTCATGTATATATATATATGAATTGTTCATGTGTATTATGTGATTGGTTTAATTATTTCATTTGTAACCCTGTAATTGTAAAATTCGAAAATATTTAATTATTCTGTTGTATTTTAGATTCATTTCTAGAACACTTCAGTTTATTATTCATGCTCGTAGGCACGGGGTGCGGCGGGTACTGTCGCACCTTCAAATTTGCATTGCACCCATATGTGTATAAAACGTATTTAAAAGGTGTAAAAACAGACTTATATATAATATAAAAATGCACAGTTTCAGTGAAAATTACAACCTGAAGAGGAATGCCCCCGAAGCCCATAGTACGGTTTCGCTGCTCGTTTCTTTGTTCCTCCAAAATTAACACATACACCCATTAGGTTTCTGTCTACGCCTTTGTTGTCGGAATTACTTTATTAAAGTATATTTAGGAAACAGTCTGTTTTATGCATATTCAGATATTTTGTGTGTTTTTGTTCAATTTGGAAACATGATATGTCTAGCGTAATTAAAATCACCTAACTTCGTTAAAAGTTAGAATACATTTAAAAGAAAAGTGGGAAATAACATTATACAGCATAAATTTGCCATAAATTTGCATAAATTTGTTTTGGAGTTGCTGAGATATGTTAGGCCAAGAACAACAAATTTTAATTATTTTAATTCATTCAGTCTAGTGATGTTCCTTATTTTCTTTAATATTAGTTCCAATTGTACTTTTTTAGCACCGCCTACGTCCCCAGTTATCAGCATCTCAAAGGTAACCTCGTCCTCAGCAGTATTTCAGTGGAAAAGAGATCCAAAAGACAAATCTATAGTTTCTGGTAAGAATGGAGATTTGTGCGTTAGAATAGCTGATATATATATATATATATATTTACTGATGGGAAAAAACTATATCATTTTATATACCAGCTATTTAACGTAAATCTTTACCCGTCCTGTAAAAATTAACATGAAAAAGTGGATCAAGGTTACGATTTAAGGAGGAATTTATTTGCTTTTTCCTGAAGTTGTTCCAAAGTGAAACGAATTATCAATAATATCTAATTTAAAGTTTGTAAACCGAAGAAATATATTTTTAGAAGCATCACGATAAATGTAAAATATCTGCAATCTAATGTGACTCATCACGTTTTACGTAAGAGTAATATTTCAGTTGAATCTGATCATTTTAAGAAGAATGTAATGCAGTTGAAGATTCACGAGCGACATATCATAACTAATCAGAAGCCTGCTTTAAATCAGCTAAACTTAGCTTACTCTATACTTGGTGAATTATCGGCTTATCGTGTATCTTGGTCTCAAAAGTAGTAGCATTGAAATTAATGTAATTTGTAAGGAAAGTTTTGGTTGGCAAAATCAATGGATTATGGGAACCTTTATCTTATTACGATTTGAAGTAGAAGGCGGGAGGTGTTTTTTTCTTAATATATTGAGTTAACTATATATATATATAAGTTATTTAGTAGACTGCAATGTTATTTTCACGTTTAAAGGATTATTACATTATTTGTTCGATTAATATTTTGCTTTGAAATAAGCATACAACTTTCCGTTAACGAAAGGTTTTGGTTTAAAATAATTTTTATAATCTTTGATCAATAACGTGTTCAGGCTTACAAATATTTTTGCTGTTACGAGTTGATGAATAGTTCTGGTTTTAAAATAACGTCTAGCCTCTTTTGATATTCAAAACAAAACCAAATGACCAAAAATAATAATAACAAAGAGTTTGTCTAATGAATTTCAGCTGCTCTAGCAGATCGTGGCATGGTTTCGTGCTTAGGACGATCGACTCGCAATCTGCAAGTCGCGGATTCCACTCCCATTATTACACATGCTCGCCTTTTCAGTCGTGGAGGATGTTATTATGTGACGGTCAATTCGATTAGAGTAGCTCAAGAGTTGATAGTGGGTTTATCACTTCTAAATTATGGATGGCTAGTGCAGATTATTTTTAAGCAGCTTTGCTTGAAACTCACAAACAAACAAAAGTTAGTCAAATATATACCATCAAGGGGCCTACTTATCCAAGGGCGTTGATTAAGTTGTGTTTCTATTTTAATTTATCAATGACCGAATCAACTACTAAACTGAAAAGCACCGAGAATAAATTATATAAACTATCATTTCTCGTTACTAATTTCTTTTATATATTCCAGAATACGTTTTTCAGTACAAAACCAACGGAAGTGAATGGCGCAAACAACATCTAGATGGCAGCACAAACTCCGTGACCTTGAATAACCTTCAGTGCGGTTCGAAATACGAAGCATATTTAACTGCTTCTAATTCCCTTGGCACTGGTGAACCAAGTCAGACCATACATTTTAGAACAAAAGAGGCAGGTAAGTATATGCTTTGATACCGAGTTAACAGTTATCTCAAAAGTATGCAAAGTTGATGAATTTGATAGATTTAAGTTTGAAAAAAAAATGCATTTGTTCTCAGGAAAGAAAAAAAAATATGCTTGTATGTTTTATTATTTATTTATTGCAAAAAATTGCGCATATTTTATAAATATAAAATGATTAGCATTTATTACAAGATGTGTTTGTCTTATATAGCCTTTAATATTTTCTTTCGGTCATCGAATAATATCGAAACGGAACTTATTGCGTTCAAATTCAGCAATCGTTACAATGAAAATTAGCCCCCCTGTGGCACAAAAGTATATCTGCAGACTTAGACTGCTAGAAACCGGATTTCGATACCCGTGGTGGGCAGACCACAGATAGCCCTTTGTGTAGCTTTGTGCTTAATAACAAACAACAACTATAGTAACAATTTAGAGTAAAAAACAATTAGCTTTATTACGCCAATATAAAAGCTAAAATAGCTCAAACTAAGAATGAAAATCATTCAGTTATTGTAGCAAATATGATGAAGCCATGGATAATGTTTCTCTCATACCAAGTTGGGCCGAGCACGCCTCGGTGGATTTGAGATTCCTTGGTTCTTGCCCTGTTACCGCCTAAAAAAATCGCACTCCGTACTTTGAGGTGACGGTCAAATCTCACTATTCAGTTAAAGTAGCCCACACGTTGACGGAGGGTAGTGTTGACTATGAGCAATCTATCAAACTATCATTTCAAAATTAGGAATGACTAACGCAGATAACCCTCGAATAGTTTTGCGCAAAAATCAACATTACATCAGCTTTCCCAAAATTATGGACGTATTATGTAAGAAATATCTTCATCAGATACATTTAAATATATATAATATATATCACTCGTTATATGGATGAGGATATTGAGAGATAAATATATAAATGGAAAATCACACAATCAATTGCTATTTTTGTTTGGTGCACACAGTTTAGAAAATACCTGATAAACTTCTAATGTTGGATATTTTACGATATCTTTGCAAATGGACGAATACTTTCTCAGACAAAAAACAAAACAAATTAGTGATATATACATATATATATTTGCTTCTTTATTTCATGTTATAGGTCCAGATTTTTATTTTTCTAGCTCCAGTCTCACCTCCTAAAGATACCTTTCTCAAAATTCATGGTACCTCTGTGACACTTCTCCTGACAAACTGGCAAGATGGTGGTTGCTCTATCAGAAACTTCACAGTGTTGTATAAGCCCAAGTCTCAACACACTTGGTATAACATTTCCAACCAGGTTCAATCAGACAATGGAAAATTGACAATCCGAGTTTTGAAACCAGGAGAAGTTTACCAGCTCCTAGTGACTGCTCACGGGGATGGGGGAGTAACACAAACTGAATACGAGTTCCAGACTCACCGTTTAGCCACAACTTTTGGTGAGTGTTAGTAATAAATAATTTTTCTTGAATTCTTCAGCAAAAATTAAATAATTAACATTGTTGCTGGACGCCACAATTGTACTAATTCATTTGTTTAGAATATAATTTAGAGTAGAATAAATTAAATTTTACCGTCGCTCATCATTTCAAGTTAATTGAAGAAAGAAAAAAAATCGAAAAATAATAACAATGACCTGTGTGTGTGTGTGTGTACACATTTTTATTTTCACCTTTGAGGATATAGTACCATGATCCTGATCGTGGCCTGCCATCCATTCTTAAAGATCGCGGATTCCATACTATTTGGTCATTTCTTGAGTGGATGTGTGTTATTGCTATAGTATATGTAGATAAATGTACATTACGTGATGTACAAAATATCCTAGGAAGAAACTTGTTCTCAAATGTAAGACGCTTTCTTGTAGCCCCAAAAAAATTACTCATTTTAAAATGAAAACAATATATTTTCCAGGATATCATATTTTTGTCAGTTTTTATGAAAATAAGATATACATTGTCTTATCATATTATCTAAAAAATGTAGCCAAGAAATCACGCACCACTTTATATCCCTAATTGAAAAAAATCGTGAAAATATTTATAACATTTATATTTCACATATCAAATATGTCTCAATGTCTTATCCGTGCACACTAACGTAGTGCTAAATAACACAAGTATAGTGAATCCATAAAAAAAAAGTCGACTCTAAAAATGTCATATTAAAATTAGCTGTAAAAAAATTGTTTTCTAGATAAATTATTTTAGAATTGACTGTAAGAAAAATAAACCAAAGAAGCTATTTTTTGGATATTTAAACAAAAAATCTTAATCTTTAAAATACATTAGAAATTCACTAAAAAATATAAATTTTCAATAAGACACATTATAAATGCCGTTTTAAAAACAGTCATAGTTTAATTGGCCATTTCACTGGAAATCTCAAAGGAAAGGAAATTGAAATTATTTGTTTGAAAGAAAACTGGGTGATTGGTTGTTTTTGGTTTTATGACGTTGAAACACCATGGTTATCTGCGCCGAAAGGAAACTGTTAAAGTAGCTGTATTAGGGTTGGCTAATAGAGAAGCTGTTGTAAAAACAGAATATTTTAAATAAAACTGGCCGCTAAAATACCATCGCAGAAGTGTTCATATTAAACTACTCGTTAGATAAAGCTTTCTTTGAAGTTACCTTCTTAAAATTGGCTTTCAAAAATTGCCACTTAAGTAGCTATTAAGTAAGATGTCTCTATAATGGCCACATTAAAACTGGTCATTAAAAAATGTCTTCATTAACGTGGCTGTTATAAACTTGATAATTAGAAAATCCATCCCTGACTTGCTATATCCCAATTGGTTAGAGAAAAAAGGCATCTTTAAAGAATTTAAACCATAAAATTGGCCATTAAAACCCGCCGTATTAATCAGCGTAGCCTTAATAAAATTGACCATTAGTAAACAACGTTACTAAAGTAGCCATGTTAACATTTTCCATTAGGAAACATCTTTTATTCTCTTGAATTGAGTAACTGTTTTTGCATCTTGACAGAATATAATGTTTAACAGCATTTTCTATCAAACAACCAATTTCTACGGATAATAACGAGACTGCAGAATTTTAAAATCAAAATAAAGAATAGAAAGGGAATGTAATTAAAACAAAGCTTATGTTACTTCGAAAAATATCTCGAGTGTATAGTTTACCGCGCATACAAATGTTGTAATGTTTACATGCTGTCGAAGCAACATTTTAATGAAAAAAAATTATTAAATTTTATTACGTTTTTATTATCATTACTTGTATTAACCTTCTATCTTATGTGTTAAAATGCACTCTGACTCCGTATACATGCTATATTTTTAGAATGCGAATTATAGGTAGATTATTAGCAACTGGCTTTCACTTGAATACAGAACATAGTGTAATAAAATCCTTTAACTTGGGCTTAGTAGTTAGTCGGCAGAATAAGATGTTATAACGAGTTATCTCGCATAGGGGTAAATTTTAGCTGTTATTCACCGGCACTGAGTACCAGCTTAAACTTTTTTGTACTAAATTGGAAATATTAAATACAGTATTATAGTCAGATGTTTACAATAATTACTATGCTATTAAATTATAAAAAAGATTTGAAAGTTGTTTGGTGGACATGTAGGTGCGTATTCGTTTTACAGGTGTTCTGAGGACTGGCATAAAATGTTACAGAAATCCACCTCTGTTCTTACACAATCATTTGGGAATTGGGAATTTTTGAGACATCTGAATGGAAAAAAATACATTTACAAAATAATGAGCAAATATATAGTTAGTTTTATCATAGGTAAAATGGCACATAATATATTTTTATAGATTATGTATATTCGTATGATTGGTAAATAAATCACAGATGCAAGCTTACCTTTGCCTCAGTATCCATTCATCTCTCTGTCATTGTTGGGTTTTGGTTTTGATTATCTAGTGAACGAAACACCTGTTTTGTTTGATTCCATCAGATGTTTTTTTGCATGCTCACTGAAGTTTGTGTACACAAATGACGAAAAATAAAATCCATATGTAACAATGAAATGAGAGCTTGTTATAAATGATTCTGATAAGAGACTGGATATATGATTTTTTTTCTTTCTTTTTTTTTGTTCGTCGTAATGCTATTATTCTGTCTGTTCTCACAAGTAGATTCATCTCTGAAATATTAAAAAACTTCTATCCCATAATAATTTAAATAATTAACTATTTTGTCTTAATTCGAGATTGTTCTAGTAAAATAAACGTGGATTGCACTTAAGGAATGAATTTGAATAAATTTCTTAGTACTGGAGCAACTCAGGAAACATTAGTATATTATATGACTCCATTGTATATCAGTTGTATCTTTTAGTGGGTTTAGTATATAAGAAATTGTTTTTTGAATGAATAAAGAAGGCATTAAGTGAACTTAAATAAATTGGAATTGTAAAAAAAAAATAATTATCTTGTGCAACGAGGCCTAAATTAAACTGATTATGCTCCGTCACGCGTACTTAACACAAGTTTTAATGACTGATATATAAACGTAATTTCGTTATTAGTTTAGCTAATACATAAAACCATTGCTTGTACGTTTACAGCCAAACTTCCTTAATATTTAATTCCAAGTGTATAAAAATAATATAAATCTTTTTTTTTTTTCAGTTGCCACGGCTTTTCCAACGATTAACCAAAAGGGTTATGGTTTACTGTTTTATAGCAACATAGCCCTCATTGTACCTGTTGTTGTATCTGCCGTTGTTATCATAGTCATCATTGTCATCTCAGTGGTATGTTTACGTAAGCATCCAGCAGAGAGCAGCAGCCGACATTCGACAACAAACGGCAAGTAATGTGTTTGGGTATTTTGTTATAGGAAAGCCACAATGGGATATATGCTGTGTCCACCGAGGGGAATCGAACCCCTGATTTTAGCGGTGGGCCGGCATGTAATCTTGAAATAATGTTTATTTTCTTAGTTTTCGGTAAAACATAAAAGTATTGTATTAATGTTTTAAATTAGCATTTGTGTTAAAAATCGGCTTATCCTTTCTGATCTATAATAATTGTGTTAAACCAAAATTTTGTTTTGAATTCATATTTTATTTATACTAAAATAACTTATAATATTCTGGAAAGATCTTTCAACGTCTGCTTTACTCGTATTTTAACAACTAATTGTGCTTCCTAAATCACTGTTCATCTGTGCTCGAAAATAATTTTGTTTTCAATGTGTTCTTATATATATATTGAGCAATGAATATGATTTATTTAAGCACGTTTTCTCCACAATTATTGATATTATAAGTTAATATTTAAGAAAACTACGTGAGTGTGCTAGGCAGCGTTTTAAGTTAGTTACAGTTCAGATTCTGATATTTTCAAGTTGTTAAAAACAACGGAGATTGGCCGTGATAACTGTTTTTTAAACATTTAGAAAAGAGCACACGATTGATACGTTGCTCGCTAATTCAGATATGTCTGCAGGTAACCAACGAGTAAAACATCCAAAGGACGAGAACATGGTCATGGGAGAGTTATCAGAAAAACTCCCAGGATTCAACAAAACTGGGACAGGGAGGCAGAGCTACTATTCCTCTCCCACAAGAAGACCTATTTCAAATTCTCAGGATAGAACCAGAGGTAATGTTTATCAAACATTTTACCATTGTAGACAGCATGAAACTTGAAATTTTTTTATCAATTATTTTGTCGATTTCGTGACGAAAAAAAAACAGTACGTTTTTACTATTTCCTGTTCCTCACTCAATCTTTATTAATAGGTATATTTAAAGCACAGTAGTTTTCTATACCATATTTTTAAATAAACTACAATATTTCTAGAGCTTTCATCTATAGCATCAAGTGAGATACATTTTGCACTACCACTTTTTGACACCGTACTGTAATCTAAATGTGACAGCTGAGCAACTTAAGCTGGGAAATTAACTCTGGTAGACGGAAATCTATTGGAAAATTTCTCAGAAATAAACAAGGAGACACGGAATGGTGAATTAACATATTCAGACTCTTACTAGAGTGTTGTGATTTTTATATTCTGGTTTTAGAATCGTGTGAAAACTAATATTCCGGTAAATAAGTTTTTTTGAGAAATGTAAAATGTCTAGTTAATGGGCTATGTTTATGGAAAATTACTAATATTGATATATACAAAGTACAGATTTGAAATATCATTGTTTGTGTGTTTGTGTGTGTGTGTGTATGTTCCTCATAACACTCTAACTGTGATAACTAAGTAAAAATCAATGTATGAACTTCAAAACGTACTAAGTCATCAACAAGTCTTGTATTTTGAAGAAATTAGGGTTCAATTTGGCCCCTCTTCCCTCAGATTTTGATAAATTTGCTCCACAGACCTCAAATGAACAAAAAAGCTTAAAATATAGTGAATTTTAAGAACATCATTTATGTTGGAACATTGTCAGGTTTTGTATATGTATTGGCTGGATTCTTTACAGTAGATGTCTGTGACATTGTTGGCGATAACTTTCAACAATAAACGGACAGCACACAATCTACTTGTTTTAAAACAATATATTTAAAACAAGTCAGACGTATGTACAAAAATTCATTACTTTATTGGTTATCACATTTGTATTTAGAGCTTTAAATTATTGTTTATTTTTTGTTAAAGCCCACACAGGCGGGTTCAATTACTTTAGAATACCCTTTTACAAGACAAATTATTCCCCTTTACTCTGTTATTACAATACAAGGCTGTGATACTCACTTTAAAATTACCTCAATGATTGTAGATTACCACAGTGGTATCCAGAACTTTAGATAATTGTCTGCACTTCGTCAAAGTCCAAACAAGCTGCTTCAATTACTTTAGAACACAACTGACAAGACAGTAACTTACTTACTTGCACTAACTTCGTCGCCTACATATATATATTGCCCCATTGAGGCCTAGCACTTTCTACAAACTACGAGACGTTATGATGTAACAATACTCAAGGAAACAACAAGAATAACTTAGAAGGTTATAGTGACGTGACGCAACAATATAACATTCACCAATTAGTGAACTACACAACGTATGATTTGTACATAGTTATGTAAACAAGCCTGTGATAAATTATCGCTTCCAAATACACTAAATTTAACACTCGCACTTTATAACTATCTACATCATAACTCTCGTATTATATTTAAATGAAACAGTCGCGTATATCTAACAAACATCATTACTTTTATATTTAGAGTAGTCGAAATTAGGGTCTGAATAAATCATCTTGTATGAAAGAGACACATCTATCAAAGAGAAACAATATGCTGGGCATACTTTGAACAATTGGAGGTTGTTTTTTTTGGGGGGGGGGGATTATTCCCCATTCCTACCCGGCGTTATGTAATGGGTTAAGAGGCATGCATATGGATCTAACAACTTCAATGTGTCGTTGAACAGTAAAAATGCAATAAAATATATATGTTTATTCATAAGTATGCCTCCCACCACCTACCCATCCACACCGTATGTGAACCACCACCAAAACAGTTACATTCAGTGATGCTGCACTGACCATATTGTTTATCAGTGACTCTCCAAACACGAATTTGGGCAAATATTGGTAGATACATGTAACTAGCTCATCTGTGGAACTAGAGTTGTTCATTGGCGTCGTTGCCAATTTTGGCCATGTCGTTAGAAACCCCTCCATCTGTGCGGTTAACTATGTGTCCGAATCAGGTCTTTTTTATCTTAACCCAGACTCATGAAGTATGTTCCTTACCATTTAATAATCGCACTAAAAATTACTGCCCTGAGGTCCATATTGAGTTCATGGACGTTGAACTGGCGATTTCCATAAAAAACCTCCGTCCATATCCAGCACATGAAAACTATAACGAAAAATGCATTGATAATCAATATGATAAATCGGCGAATGATCATATTTGAAGACGATGGGGGCCCGGCATGGCCAGGTGGTTAGGGTACTCGACTCGCAATCTGCGTTTCACGGGTTCGAATCCCCGTCACACCAAACATGCTCGCCCTTTCAGCCGTGGGGGCGTTATAATGTGACGGTCAATCCCACTATTCGTTGGTAAAAGAGTAGCCCAAGAGTTGGCGGTGGGTGGTGATGACTAGCTGCCTTCCTTCTAGTCTTACACTGCTAAATTAGGGACGGCTAGCGCAGATAGCCCTCGTGTAGCTTTGCGCGAAATTCAAAAAACAAACAAGACGATGGGGTACTTACTATCTTTCCAGAGAAGGGGGTTGAACGTATAAAGTTGGTCAAATCAAAATGTTGATGACATATCTGCTTTTGGAATTGCATTTAGGTGTAACTTTCCAAATGATATTGAAATATTTGTCCCCTTTAATTTTTCGATATCATGCAATATACTTTCTATAAATGCTAAATTGTTTTTCCGGAAACAAAAATTATGTCAAGAGGTAGACACGTGGGAAATGTATCTTTCTTGGCACAGTTTATTTATGCAGTAAAGTGTACCCGTAAAAAAATGTCTTTAAAATATAAAATAAAATACACAACATAAATACAGGGAGCGCTATTTCCACACGATGGTTGTTGTTGTTTGTTATTAAGCACAAAGCTACACAAAGGGCTATCTGTGCTCTGCGTACCACGGTTATTGAAACCCGATTTCTAGCGGTATAAGTTCGCAGACATACAACTGAGGGACTTTTTTGGCATCCCTGCGATGGAGGAACCAACTATTTTGTTCAAATCCAGTGTTGAGTTTCCAAGTGTTTCATCCCTGCAAGAAGATACATATATATTATTTCCATAAATTAAATTCGAAAGGAGGTACGTTTTATTTCTTAATCTTTGGATGTCTAAATTTTTTTACAGTCTGTTCACGTTTATTATTCCACGTGCATGGTTTAAATTCTGTTGATCTTCAGTTGCCTTCTAATATTAATCGTCGATGGTGTAACTTAAAATAAGAAATATTATATATCATGGGGACTGTTGGATCGTCTTAGTTGACCTGGCATATTGTTCATTAGAAACACCCGTAATGAAAATAGTGTTGCCTTGAATATTACCAATGGCAGCGAATATGCTAACATAAGAGCATGTTTTATTATTCTACAAATAGATAAAAATAAAGTACACACACAGTAGGATTGTTCATAAGAAAAAACGAGATGAAAATAAAAGGATTAAAAACAACATGCGTCAAAAAAATCGAATATCAATAAATATTGAAGTATATGAAATCTTTACACTTTAAAAACATTCCAAAGAACTCAAGTTGAATGGACTTTAGAAACTGTATCAACTGTTTAATTAAGATGTGTCTTGCAGACCACTCATGCTAACCGATACGCGTTATAATTATATGTAGTGAAAACAACGTATAGCTAAAATGTACAGGAGAACTCAACGCATTATTCTGAGTGGATCAGGAGTTTATATAGTTAATTATTTACTTTTTATCAGGAAGAAGACCAGAGGCCCATGAATACGCTGAACCTTACGCATCTGTACCTCCGCCACGACGCGTTTCAGACGAAGTTAGTCGAGTCTGTTTGAAAGATAATGTAGGAACTGTTTTACTATTCATTGCTAAATCTATTTGTGTTTACTATACATGTTAAAGTTCTGTCGTACAGCCTTCTTATTTTCGTTATTTCCATGGAAATTACTATTTTTAATTAGATTTCGTTACATAGAATACGTACCAAGTTATCACGTAAAAATTATTGAGTGTTTTAATTGCATCATTTTTACGACATTTGTTTATATATTAATATATTACGTTTTTATATGCAGCGGTATCCATTTACTTATTTTTATAAACCACATAATAAAACTTTATTATTAATTTTGTGTCACATTTTCATTGAACTCGTACTGTTAAAACGTATGCATAGGCTTTCTAATTGTATTTCTATAATATAAATTACATTGCAACAAAATACTATTATAACAACATTGTTAAAAAGCAGAAAAAAAGCACGTTCGCAGCACATCATGATCTTTACTTTTTCTTTTGGTTATTTACAATATTTGTAAAAATCAAGCTAAACTTATTTGTTTCAGTCTAACAAGGGTAACACGACATTAAAGATTACTGGGTGTCCTCTTTGCTCTAAGTATCAAAAGGATTGGGGAAACTATAACAAGTAGACACCTTTGGCTATAAAATAATATTTGAATAAAACACAAACTAACGAAACTGTATGTGAACTAGTTTTTAAATACGTTTAGTTTTATCCAGAAAAAGTTCCCTTTCAACATATATGATTAAAATGAGTTTAGTAAAAATAGTAAGGCTTTGAAGCGTACAAAGTGCATTTTTTTACTTCTTGTTATATTTTTTATACAGCGTTAGATTGACGTATTAAGATGCTAAAATGAACCACAATATGTTTTTGCTCATAATAATTTCTGAGGCATCAGGTTAGAATGTCTATGCTATATGTGTAGCTGGATCAATAATACGATTTAACAATATGGACCTTGTATTTCTTCGTTGAAAGTATGTAACAGTGCCAAACAACTTAATTCCAAAATCAAACATTAGTTTATGTTTAACATCAACATTTTAATTTTATGTAAGACTACAATATTATTCTTATCGCAGACTATAAGTTTATAATCAAATATATCTTCTTGTTATTTCTTCTTTACAGATGAACGAAGGAACAATCAGGACACTTAGAAGTGCTTTCAGTAGATCAGAAGGTCTGTCTACTGAGATATGGAATGGTAAGGTTGCCCTAGTAACAAGACTGTTATCACTCTAATAGGCATATTTATCTTTCAAGAATGAAATACGTAAAATTTTAGATTTATAGCAAAATATTAGGAATAACCTGCTTGAATGCTATTATCTTTGTTTATAATAGTGAACCATCGTTCAGTAAGTGACATCCACATTTATTTGTTTTTTTATTCTAACGACAAGTAGTCAAAATATATATATATATATATATATATACATCTGTTTACGAAAAGGAGAAATAAAATATTTAGCGAAACCTTGGAAATGGAGAGTTCATGCCTAAAGCCAACAGTACTTCAGAATTTTTTTTTTTTCTGGCTGCAAACATAGACGTCAATTTTTGAACATAGCAACACATCTTGCAAAATCAGCGGTATTTATTAGAACATGTGTACGAGTTTGAACAATGAAAAGGTCCTATATGATATATTGCAAAAATTATACTTAAGATAAGGAAGTACCTTAAAAGATGGTACACATTACACAATGTCCAACAAAACTCAAACGAGAAATGAGTATACTGTTACGACAGCAGAAGTCACGCGACACTGGGGGCATTCGCACTGGAGTTTCTCGAATGATCATGAATTTGCCGGCAGCTCGAGTGTGATCTAGATGCCCTCTTTTTTAGTATATAAGCCTGGCAAAGAAAGCCAGGTGAAGGTAAATAGATAATCGAGTCACGGTAAGTCGATTCTGTTTCTGTGTTTTGCAGTCGCATAGAGCGAAGTTATCGAGCTTGTGAATCGCTGTGAGTATAGCGTGTGTTTATAAAAGTCGTTAAGTATAAAGCGACGAGGAACGTATCGACTGTGGAAATTCTGTATATTACAAAGTTTATATCGAGAAAGAATAAACTAGTTTTAATCAAGAAAAGACTTGTGTCGCTGAAGTTTCTCGGAAAGAATTTTACTGGAAATTAATAAGCAAGCAGATACGTAACAAATTGGTGTCACAGAGTGGGATGAAAAAATGGTGAAAACGAGAAGTAGCAAATCAAACTACAGCTTAGCAGATTTGGTGGCAGCCATACAAAAAACAGCAAAAGAAACAAGAAGAACGAAAAAAGAAACAAGAAGAGAGATTACAGCAGTTGTTGGAGGGAAAAGAAACAAGAAGAACGAGAGAAGAAACAATAAGAGAGACAACAGCAGTGGCAAGAAAACCTGCAACAGTGGCAGCTCGGACAGCAAAATAAATAAGATAGACTACAGCCGTTGTTGGAGGAGAAAGAAAATGAACAAGAAGAGAGACAACAGCAGTGGCAAGAAAACCTGCAACAGTAGCAGCTCGAACAGCAAAATAAACAAGAGAGACTACAGCAGTGGTTGGAGGAGAAAGACAATAAATAAGAAGAAAGTCTCCAACAGTTGAGAGAAAGCCAGCATACACAAATGGAAAAGATTAGTAAATTTCAAAGTGAATTAAATACATTAAAGGGTGATTTACTGTCTTTT